TCTGGGAAAACTGGGCAATAAACATAATATTCTAAGTACCTGGAATCATTTTGACCCAAACCCACTTCTTTTTGTCTTGACTTAAAAAGGGCTGCTCATGTGCATTTGACATAACAATTTAAGATGGGGACATAGGCCCCAGGTGCCTTGCAGCACCCTACCACCTGGTACCACGCACTGAAGAATGGGGATGTGCTAGCAAAGTGGAAAACCTGGTGACCAGCCCACCTGAATCACAAGCTGCACTTGGTATCTCATGAAACAATTTTCGCACAGAGTCCAGGACACCATTCCTAGGGCACTTAAGTTGTCCACTCCTACGTGTGAAGCCAGGTTAACACCAAGACACAATGACAGCATTTTCCACTTGGGAGTGTTTTCAGAAACAAAAGCTCACAGTAGTTACCCTGGCAAAACTGTAGGCAAATTAAAACAGTCACCAATGGTCAGGGCATCCTGACACTTTCCATTCCAGGAACTGAGCTATTCTGTTGCTATGCCTGTTACTGATCTAACTGTTCAAAACAACAGCTTTTCACGGTGGCATTCAATCTCTAGCCAATTTGACTTTACAAGTTTTAGCAAAACTTGGGTCAGCTGTTTTGAAGAACAAGGTAGACTGTGAATGGCTTTTGGTTTTCTTTGTTCGGAAGTTCTACAGAAGCACATTACCCTGGAGCAAGAGAGCTGCTTTTGCTGTCCTTGTGAAAATATGCCTGGGAATTGGCAAGTTAGAAAGCTTACTGTATTATATCACTGTTTGGACATGCTCTGTAAAAGCTCAAAAAACTTATCTACCCTAAATCCATTCATGGCAACAGGCATCTACAGGTTCTGGTCACTAGGTCAGCTCAGTTACTGAGGCAGACAGTGTCTTTCACTTGTCTGCAGTGACTGTTTTTTCTTGTAGGAAGTTAGCAGAACCACATCCCATAATTGAAAGCAATGCCACACTGAACCAAATGTGATCAGAAAGTCCCCATAACACCTATTAATTTCCAGGCTTTTACCACATTCAAACTGCACAACTGTCCTTGTCAAGATCTAATGTAGAAACACGTCTCCAAGAAAGGAGACATGCCACAATATCACCACCTCCCTCCTCCTCTTCTCAGGAAAATACATGGGCACGAGAAGCAGCATAAATCTCTCTGCTGCTGTAAGGAAGGAAAAACTAAACCACTCTTAGCTGCAGGTACAGAGTACTGTAAGAAGCCTCCTGGAGGAGGAGAGGAAATATAAAGGTTATGCTCTGGTTACGGTGAAACCCAACAGAGGAATTCTGTAGTGCTTGTGCTTTTTTAAAAGCCACCCATTTTACTTTAAGCCTGTTTCACTGTACTCTCCAAAGGAAGGAGCAGAAACCTCTCCGAGCACCTTGAAACGTTTCTCCCCAGGAAATCCTCTGTCTCCTTTGCACTGCTGATGTTGCTCAGAGCTGTCTGTCAGCTGACCTTTACAAGCACATTACCATGTTTGACAGCAACCCTCCACCACAAAAGTTTCCACAGAAGTTACCCCGCTCCTCGAGGTTTCTCATTTTCCCTATTGGCTGCAGAGTGTTTCAGTGCTCTGCTAATTATATCAGCACTCAGATACAAACTCACCAAAATAGATGATGTCCTGAGGCCCCAGCTGCAGGGGAACAGGCGTCTTCTTTAAATAATCCAGGTAGAGAGGGCAAAGGGGTTCAGAAAGCACCCCTGAGCCACCTCCCACTACAGGCAACCCTGCAGGAACCAGCTCATGTCACTAATTAGGGTGCAGGTCTCAGGGCTTCAAAGGGACAGAGACTGACCAAGGGGGGTAATGCCATGAAGGAGATGCAATGCCACAGCCTATTGTCAGCAGCACAAAGGACCCTATTATTGCTCCCAAGAGCAGGGCAGTTCTTACCGTAATTAGGAGACAAAGATGCACGATTTAGGATTTTACATAATCAAGAGATACTCTCCCAAGCGGGAGCCCCTCTCACACAATCAGTGGATTAAGTATTGTTTATTCTGCTGCAAGTAAACAATGAGGTGCTCCCTGCTCGGGGCTTTACATTAAAAAGCAGTACTGGCCAAGACAATGCGGGGTGTCTTTTCATCTGGCTTTGAACAGCTAACCCTGTGATTTAAAGTTGTTCATTTGACAGTATCTGGAAGGGTAATGGCCCACCCTGTAAATTAGCTGCTCACATACTGATCCAGACAGCCTTACCTTTTCTGCTGCTTAGCAGAGGGGGGCCAGGGACAGACAGACTCGGGCAACTCTGAGGGCAAGAGGCTGTGTTTACACAACAGCACTACAATGGCAGGATTAAAGGACCACAAGGAAGCTAGGCAGAAGCTTCTGCCCACCCGAGCACATTGCTGCTGCTGGGGATGCATCCCTAAAGGGAGGGAGGGAGATTGGTACCACCACCAAAGCAATGCATGCTGGTGCACCGCTCCAGAGCTGATGTCCATAATCGTTTCTATACTAACTACTGGGGGAGCAAAAAGGAGTCAGACGTTTGCCCTGTGGTTTAGAAAGAAAGGCACGGCTAGGGAGATGGAGCAACACTTACTACTGGTCATGACAAAATAGTCTGTGCTGGGCTACCTAAAGCTGTAGATCCAAACCAAGCACCAGATCCAGAGCATCTGGCTCTGGGCTGTATAGCATCTGATACCTGCCTCACAGAAGTCCTGGTCAAGTGACTCTACTTTTACAATACTGGCAATAAAAAGAGACTGAGGGTGTTCTGCTCCCTGCCCTTTGCTAATAACACAGCTGCTAGGCTTGTTTGTTTGAACTTTGAGGAGTGTTCTTCCTCCTTGTCTTCTACAATAAGGAAACACCAGGATTCGATGAACGCCTTCTAACATTTTGCATTTTGCTCCCCTGCCACGAGCACACCCATACACACGTGCCTCCTGCTCTGATACTCTAGCAAAATTTTCTCTTTTCTTCACCTCTCACTCAAAAAGACAACCTTAAGCCTCACCAAGAGGAATCATTTCAGTCACATGAACTCAGGACAGAATGGCATGCCATGTTCAGCGTATCTTGTTGACTCCTACAGTCTTGCAGAACTCTGGGAACCAGGGGATTACAGCCGCTGCCTGCAAAGGGTTTTAACCTATTTCCTTTGGGATGGATCACCTTAACAGCGGCCCAGACTGCTTTGCTTACCAGAGGATTTTCTGTTTGGTTGGGACAAGCACACAGCGTCATTTTAGTTGACTAGACTAGGACAAAAGGTGTGTTTTAAACCACATAGGCAGGGCTATGCATTTGAATGTGTTAGCTGACCGGGGAGAACCACAGCTTCCTTGTTCTGTGCTATCTCCACTGACATATCTTAAATTACTAAAGCAAGTACTTGACAGAAACCCCTACCATCATCTAGACAAGTCCATGAAGACCAGCATCGCAGCACCACCCTTAACTGATGCCCACACAGCTTGACAATCATGGCTTTGATTAAGGGGCACATTTTAGTCTCTGTTGCTCAACCCAGTCAAGGGTAGCAAAATCCATTTCAGGACAGTATTATCTGAAGCAAGTCTCCTAGTCTTAGAGAAAGAGTTGCATGAAGAGGAAGAGCATGTTTGCATAGCTAGTCTGTCTTTTTGCCTTGCTGCAGCAGACTGCAAAGCTGCCATGCTAGAAGGGTATTCATTCTGTTAACTTTTATCCATCACTCAAAGCAAGAGAATCCACCTGTTCTCTGAGGTCCATGGCACAGAACTTTGCAAAGAGGTCGTATCTTCATAGAAGCTTCAAAGTGAGGCTAATGCCAGGGCAAGTCTAATAAAACAGCTGCTTTCTGTAAGCGTAAGTGCATGGCAAAATTATCTCTGACACTTTTGTGGGGGTTGCAGAGCTCTTGCCATTGAACAACTGGTTCAGTTTTGCTCTATAATGAAAATTTACTTCAGAAACAGCAAATTCCATTCAATTCACTACTATTTGCTGGACCAAGTTTAAGAGCGAGCTTTCCAACTCCTTTTCCCAATAATTACAGCACTTACAATGACTTAAAAAATGGTTTTACACATATTTACCAATGTTTTCTTAAAAAAAGAATATTTAATAGAAGTAATCCCATTTAATAGAATGGGATGGCTCTGCTCCATGCCGTTCTCCTAAGAAACGGCATTCAGGAGAGGGTGTTGACACTCCAAGATGGTGAATTCTGCACCCTTCTGAAAAGATCATTGGAGTCCAATGTCCCAAAATAAGCTTAAAACACTAACAAGCTTCTGCAAATGGACAATCTCCTTTTCTAAAACAGCAGCTTTCATACATGCTTAAACCAGACTTAGAATATCTTTTATATCTTCATGTATCTGGCTCTACATTTTTCTATGATAAAAAACAGGAAATAAAGAAGTATCAGGAGTCCCAGAGGCAATTACTTGAACCAAAACACAACACCCAAGCACCTTCCCAAACAATTAATAACTAATTTTTCCTTCTTAAAAGAAGCTGCTTTAAGCCAAAATCCACATCATTCCCTAACCTCAACAGGCAGAAAAGCATAACACATTTTATTGAAAGTCTGGAACCAGAAACTCATCTATCTTTGCTCACTCCCACAACAGACAATAAAACCTTTATATCCAGCTGCCTTCTTGTCCCCAAACGGAATAATCTCAGAGGTTGGTACCTGAATACTTTTATCAAGTTTTGCTTCATGTTTTAAGCATCTTTAGTTTAACTTGTTAATATTTTGCCATGTTGGCATTCTGCAATTTTATGTAACGTCAACAATGGGTTTGGAGGGGAGGAAGGGATGCTTTAATTTCTTCTAAAAACATTCCCAGCTATTAAGATTTCCTGTACTTGCAAAAAAATAACAAAACTAAGCCCTACAGCACCCTGGTGACACAAGATGAGGCAGAAGCATGTAAAAACCTGTGCCAAAAATCAGAAAGGGTGCAGGGAGGTGAATGGGTCCTGCCCCTCCCCAGCAGGCTCTCTCGGGCCACCTGGTAACCAGAAACACTCTCAGGACTATTTCTTACCTCAGTGAATTATCTGGATGCGTCTCCATGTGGGACTCCAACCCATACTTGCAAAAAAAATCTTTGAAACACACTGGACAATGATAAACTTCCTCCTCAGCCTTCTTATCCCCTTCACAGGAGTGACCATCCTCGACAACCTTCAGAGAGAAGGGAAAAAAAACCTCACTAGACCAAATCTTAAGCAACAAACCAAACATGCAATCCATCTGAAGTCCTTCTCTTAAAAACAAAGTAGCAGGCTTCAACCATAACTTTGCTGCAGGCGACCAGAAATGACTCATGTCGGTAACAGAAAGAGGGTAAGCAACAGAGCCTCTGTGTGTGTGTGAGAACGTGCATGGGAGGAAAGGAGGCATGGGAGGAAAGGAGATAAAGTATGCAGCTAAGGCATGGATACATCAGTTCTAATGAGAAACTGCAATCTAAACAACTTATAAACCCGTATGTTTATATACCACTGAACCAGCATCCCTCCCCCTCCAGAAAGCCAGGCAAGCTGTCAGCCTAAATTATTTATGCCACTCAGATACTGCCAACTGCTAACTCAAGTGGTCCAGGGAGAAGCAATGAGTTTTCTGTAGCCCTCTTCTGATTACAAGGAGAAAATCATGCAAAGAACGAGGGATATTGTGTTCCATGGAACTGCTACTAGCTGGCCAGTTAGAGATAGTAAGTGGAAAGGGTTGAGTTAAGTTTGGCAGCCACCATACATTTTGTACAAATGACTGAAATGCACTAAAATGTTTCATAAACAAAACCCTAATGGAAATGTCTAGCCTTCAAATAAATATTTTTCTGGTTTCTCTTGCAACTCCAGTAATGCGGGATTATGCTACTGTGAAAGGGAAATGTACTACAGATTTTTTCTCCAGTTCATGACAAAAACAGACTTAAGCTGTTGCTGCTTTTGAAGTAAACACTAGTTTTTTACAAGTTCTAATCATTATCCTGCAAGATTATTATGAATTAAACAGGAGAAAAAAAATCAGTGTAGGGGAAAAGCTGCAGTAGCTAAAGAATAGTTCATCCTCTTGTCATCCAACATCAATTATCTAATATAAATCATAAGCAAACCCAAATTTAAACAATAAAGAATTTAAAAAAAAAGAACAAAAACCCAAACAAAAAAACAACTTTCAATTCTTTCAGTCTCTGAAATGAGAAATTACTTGTCAATCTCAGACAACATTGTTGCCTACAAAGGACAAGCATGGCATTTTAAAATATATAGAGGGCTGTAAGAAGCCCACATTTTTGTATTTCCATGCAGACTGTATGATGTGACAGAGTTTAGGAGGTAGCCAGGAATGTCTTTTGCTTCATGCTGAATAAAGAACCTTTTTTGCAGGTATCCTCTCCTCTCTGTCCATCTCGGCATCGTGACAAAACTTCCGTTTCGAAGACAATCGCCTGCGCTTCAGCGGCGACGGGGGAGTTGTGGTCGCTGTGCTGTTCGGATCCTTCTCATGAATCTTCATGTGCCTGGGCAGGAGGGGAAGAAGATGCTGTCAGCAGCAAACCGGGGCAGAAAGTCTGAGTAAATTTTAATGCCAACACCACTTCTAAGGTTTGCCTTTAAAGGATACCAGCAGAGATCACACAAACCAGCCTGAACTTCTGCAAAACAGCTGGGGCACAATCCAGCATGGGTCCTTTGCAGAACGTGAGACTGTTCAGGACCGCAGCAAGGAGCCCTGCAGCTCTCCGCCATGTCCAAACCCATAGCAGGGCAGTTGCCCTGTTGGCATGAACCCCCATGAGCACCCTGCCTGTCCCCCATCATCCCAGAGGCCCTGCTTCTGCCTGATACTGCACAGTAATCTACGTGCCCTGCTTCCCAACCTGTTGGAGGTCCAGTAAGTAAAAGCCTGAAGCTTAGCATCCATTTCACCTAATGCAAAAAAAGCCTCTCATCTTCAGCTGCTCTCCTTCTATAGCTTTTATACCCCAAATGGATCTGTATTTGCCAACATCAAAGCAACATTTCTTAAATACATTTATTTCCTTCTCTTCCTTAACACACTGCTGTACCCCAATACTGAATATCAACTGCAGCTTTGAAGTCAAGATATATCTGGTCACACTGTTAAGCTGCAGCAGGTATGGCTTGCAAAACTCCATTATTGACAAAGCATGTTCACAAAACCTGCTTCCCCAGGAAAACAACTATGTCTTGTCATAAAGACACTGGGAAGGGGAGAGGAACAGCTCAGGAAGCAATCTCATGAATATCTGTATACCTGACCCGCCTGCCTCTTGGTTTTCTGTATTTGCAACCTGAGGAAGACATTGTTGCCTAGTTCCCTTCAGTCAGATGAAGGTATTGTGCCTGTGCTTCTTTTCCTCAATACTCAAAGCTCAATTTTTATGTCTTTTTATGTAGGGCCTTTAGCCTCACTTCAAATTTATAGTGCTTTTGAAAAAAGTCAAACTTATGCTCTTACAGGCAATGCAAATTTTTGTTTCTAATGGCTAGAAATGGGAGTGCAGGAGAGAGTTGCCCTTTGTCCATACGATTGACTTCAAAGCAGCAGGAGGGAGACAATGTCAACGGCACTCGGGCACATCCTTCAGAAGTCACACCCACAGCTCAGCTCAGGACTGTGCCATTTAACTCGACTGCACGCTATCATGTTCAAACATGAGAGAATGTTGTAACCTAGACGAGTCTCCTATGTCCTCATAACTGCTTGGGATGTTATGACATAAAATCCGTTTTAGTTTTGGATGCCAACAGCATGATGCTTCAAGATAACACACTGGACCAAGCTGACCCACGGGCAGACCAGGACTAGAACTGCTGAGAGGACTGTCTCCTCACACAAAACTATTTTTAATGTTTCCTTTCACAATGGCTGAACGCATCAGCACCAGGATGTTCTGGCTTACACATTTTTTTTAAAAAAAAAAAAAAAAAAAAAGGAAGGCAGCTAAATTACCGTCTCAAACTACAGCCAGGCTTCTGAGGGTGTTCTGTGGGAACAGCCTCAAGCCAAAAGCACCACACATACCAGAACCAATGCAGCATTAAAATGGATGTCAGCTACTGCCTGCTTTCAACACCCGGCAAGGCTGGGGCTGCTCGGAGGACCAGGTCCACATGACAAAAATCGTGTGAAAAGTAACTGGCCAAGTAACCCCAGTAACTCTCACTGGTCACACAAACAGCGGATGGACACTGGTGACACCACCTGCCAGTCACACTGTGGGAGGTTCATTAGGAGAGAGCATCTGTGTGCAGATGTGCTCAGCAGGCTGGGCACAGCATCATGGA